CAGCTAAAACGAACAAGCCCACTGTTTTAATGTGATAATAAATAAAAATGCATGCATAATAAGACACGAAACAATTAAAACCACAGATCCATTTCTTTGCTATGAACTCTAATATTAAAACATATAATGAAAGTTAATTTAAATATATACTTACCTCCAATTCTGAGTCGACAATATATCATATCCCGACACGAAGAAGTTAGCCTTTCGGCGGTAACGTCCTGCGGTATATTGATGCGCCGATCCACCAAAACAGCGACTTCGAGGTTAGGTTAGAGTTAGAAATCGACAGCGACAATTGTCCTGCAATATAGTCAGTATAAGTCCTTTTCGCAGTATACCTTGGCTTTCTCTCCACTCTCCTATCTCTAGGTACACATAATACTTACTGTTCGTTCTCGTGCAATTCACGTTTTCGTTCGTCATCTCAAAACTCACTTGCACGTTGTACCACGTTGCACGACACAAGGTATTTTCACTCAAGTCAGTATATGCAGAGAGGGAAAGGCGAGCAAGCGCTTCGTTGTGAGTGGCTGACGGGAATATTACGCGCGACCCGCGCGACCATGACGAATTCAAATTTTCAGATAACGACAGAAGTACATTAGTTTGTATGTATATCTGTTTGTGTGAAATTATTATTGCAAATATCCCAGTTTTCTTCTCATAATTGCAACTATTGGTTCTCTTCTCATAATTGGAACTATTTGTTCAATCGCAGGTCCGATAAAAATCTATTTCCAACAATAATAGAGTAGAAAAAAATAAAATTAATAAATTTTCAATAATAAATAATTAAAAACTAACTTGCTAAAATAAAAATTGCCGATAAAATTATCATTTATTTTACATTCTTTTGAATAATATGTATATTGCACGTTATACATTATATATATATATGTATATATTTTTTTATTTTATGAATATATTTAATAATCATATATACATATATTTTGTAATTGCATGTAAATTAAATTATGATTAGTCAAAAATTAATTTTGATTATAAAAAATAAAAAATTTTGAAAAAACTGAATTTTTATTTATTTTATTTAATTTAATTATTATAAATTTCACTTACATCTATTTGTTAAAATGTATTAATTTTTGATTGTTTATTTAAAAAAAAACAAATTGTTAATAAATTCAACATTTTTGTATAATGCATTTAATTTTTACGGAATGAATTGTAAAGTATTGTAAATATTAATAAATTATTACTAAAAATGTTTTTATACAATAAATTTTCATGTATTTAAATAAAATATATGATATATTTATTACTTAATTAAAAATGTACAGTTTATTTTTAAAATATAATGTAATCAATGTAATTTGTTATTATTTTAATTTATTTAATTATTTACTATTTACAAAACTTTAATTTATTTGAATAAATTAGATTATATTTTCATTACATGATTTAAAACGTACAATTTTATTTTTTATTGACATATTTTTAATAAATCCAATTAAAAATCAATTTAATTTTTATAAAAATAATTTCTATTTCTTCAATTTTCTTAAATAAAATATATAATATTTAAATAGCTGATTTTTAAACCTCAATAAAACATAAATAGAAGTTCTTATATAATTAATTAAATTTAGTTTATTTTTATATAATTAATTTCAATTTATTTAAATAAAATTTATGACATTGAAACCGTGTGAGCTTCGGCGGACGCGGATTAGCTCGCCGGAATCCAGGTTCGGTCGGTTGGGGGTATGTCAAATAAACCAAATGCTCGTTTATAACAAAATAATGAAACAGCGTTTATTGAGAAAGATGTT